CCATGGGGCACGTGTCCCTCCCCCCTCTCTCTCTTCCTGTCTGCGACACGGCTCACGGTTTATTTACTGTCGTTTGCGATCGTTTTTGGTCACCAGGAGACCCAAAGACATCGCATTTGATTGTGTTTTGCATTGAAAAACCGCGTCCTTTCGGCCGGTCACGGGACCCTCTTGAGCCCAAGGGGGGGGGGGGGGCATGGCCCGTCCCCCTGGATCTGCCACTGTCTCCAAATGTTAATCAGAAGGCTTCTTACATTGATCGGGCTAAATGACGATGCAATGGTCATGGATTCACAATGAGGCAGTGGAAAGACCCTGTGTCAGTTAGAGGTCCCATTACTGAACGAACGGTCCCAGTACTGAATCCCTCTGCACCGTTTCAATCAAGAACCGATAAGCGAGATTTGTACCCCTTCTTTAGAGCCTCTTCGAGGTCCCAAAACCTCATGGGACCCAAGAGGAGACATGGCCCCATGCTCGAACCCTGCTAGATTCCCCTTGCTTCATGGGACCGCCGGAATTGTGTGCCTCTGGAAAGTGAAAGTTGTGACGCCCGCAAATGAAGGATTGGTGCGACTTCGTGGAACGGTCCGATAAAGAACTTTTCCACGGTGGAAGGCACATCAATTGTGGCGCCACGGGCTTTGGTACTGTGATAAAGTCAAGTTTTTTGACCCAATAAATGGCCCGCTTGTATACCGTGTCTCTTGTCTCTTCAAAAGGAGGTTCATGTATGTGCCAGAATGTCATTAACCTTGGTGATACCACCCCTCAACGCGGCCACATGCGCGTGGTGCTGGTGTCAGAATTATGAAGTATGACCTCCCCCTGCTCCTGCCTCCCCCTCTGCCGCCGGTAGGACCGTCTGGTGGACGTGATAGGCATACTGCTGCCGCCGGAGCCGGCGGCTGAGGCAGTCGCGAGCGACCTGCTCTGGGTGCCGACAGAAGAGATGTCAGTGGACCGGCTGGTCACCGGCGCACTGGAGGCCGCCTTCCACGACATGGTGCGTCTGGGCGCCCCCTCCGCTTTTGGGAGAAGGGACATGGGGGCTCAAGGACAGCCTTATGATGTAGTGTAATGACTTAGTGTATCTGCTTATCTGTTGTTATCTCATCATCTGATGTCATATTATACCTTACTGTTATTATCTTATGTAGTATTAGCCTATCTGGGTTACAAGACGGAGCTATCCAGCATGTTTTATGCGTTGCTGTGCAGTTCCCGGCAAAAATCCTGGCACGAGCCACCGGCATGTGTGTTATGGAGCTGTGTGGTTTCGCATCCCTGAGGTTTGCCCCGAGTGCACCGATGTTTCTTGGCGTCCTCTCCAGCCGGAAATCAGATCGCGAAGTAGGGTCAAAATAACTGAGAGGCGACGCCATCAGTGACCGGTGAGGACCACGAGGAGACGGTGGCCCTACCAGTGAGCTGTACCAGTGGTGACGGCCCTACTAGTGAGCTGTGCGGACCGACAGACAGCGCGCGAAACGACGCTGCCGTCAGCGACAAGACCCGGCCGGAGACTAAGCCCCGGTAAGCCTCAGCGCCCTGTCAGCAGACAGCTGTGAGCGCCGACGGAGCGGGACACCAGTCTCACCAGCAGCGGTCCCCGATTCAGCCACCGGCCGTCCGACAGAGCGACCAGCACATCTGCGATATGCCCACCGACAACAGGCTTGTGAGCGGCTTCGAACGGTGTGGAATGCTGGGGATGACCACTTGGCGGATTGTGCTACCTCAATGAGTTTGGATCACGTGCGGCGGGCGCCACCGTGCGAGAAAGCGGTGTGCCTTCTGTCGCTTACTTTTGTGGGGTTGGGTTTGCGTCTAAAATGCCACCACTTAAGGTCCGGATAGGAAGGCTGTGACAAAGTTGACGAAACTATCGAGGTGAGGAGGGCGTTGTGGTTGAACTGTTGCTGAATTGGCGAGGAAGTACATACGGTCGTCGCTGCTCCCTTCTGCGGTTTATTTATTAGCCACAATGTTCTGCAAAGTCCTACCACACATTCCAATGCTAAATGTGAATCGTCTTTTGCTTTTGTGACGAATGCAGTGCTTTCCGCTGCTGTTGTTACGATCTTGGCAACAATAGATTTGTCTAAATGTTTTCATCGTATGTGTATCACCTTCGTAAAGATCGCAGTTTGCGGGAGCGTTGCTTGTTCTTAATTCATCATGCGACCTTGTATCGGGGTATTGCTTGTGTGCCGTATAATTTACGTTTTGTGTTCCTTACGTTTAGATTGTCTGATATTTTTTGTTCGTGCGAGTGGTAACTTAAAACTGTTGCATGCATAGCCAGGCTAAAAGAGGTGAAGCTGGTCATTTTAATCGAGCACCAGAAATATTGCAACATTTTACATTTATAAGCCTTGAACTATGAGTGGTCGATAAGTGATAGCTTCAGCGACCCTTGCGTGAGGCAGTTGCGCGGCGTCCCGTATGACGCGTGATACGCGAAGCGAAGCGAGGTTTAGTGCTACGATGTTTATGGACACTGTCAGAGTCATTCCATGATCTAAGTTCCTGGATATTTTGTCGCAGAGTGTTTAAGCATGTGGGCATGTGACAGCCAAGTGGTCTGTGTTCCACGTAAGTGGCCGGGACTGCGGTGCAACTGAGAATCGAGCTCTGGTCCCGCCAATACGTTTGCTGTAGTCGCTGATGCTCCACAAGGGGTGTACGACGGCGTGTAACCTGTTCTCTTTCAAAACAACAGATGTCATTCGCTATCCACGCGTCAGTGATGTCGGTTTCAGCACGAAGATCTCGGAGATTTCGGGTGGTGATAATATTTTTTAGAGGCGCGTTGACTGTTTGGGTATTTTCATCCCTTTCGAACACTATCCGTTGCGTGTGTGCTCGGCCAGTGCTGTTACTAACCTACTACGCGGCATTTGCGCACCCGTGCTGTTGAGCGGCCGTCGATAATTCTGAGGCAATGACATCTAATAACGCCAAGGTGTGAGTGATGCCACAATGTTGGTCCCCACGAGGAAGACGGGAAATGGCCACAAGAGTGAAGTGACGCGCACGGTCCGTGGATGGTGATGACACGAGGTCAAAACACGCTTAACAGATAATTATTCGTCATATCCCTCATACTGTAGCACGCTCGGACCCGGGAGATGAAATGAGCGTGTAGCATGACGCAGCCGTCTACGGTAAGCACAGTTTTTTGTTCAGCCTTTCCTCCATTAGGAGTCCCCACTCCAAAAAAGATTTCATGACTAAATTGATAATTTAAATTACCAACGCCATTTTGCGATATCGGCGGCATACCTGGTAACGAGAGACCGCAAATCACCTGCCGGCAAATTGATGGGCAAAGGCGCTTTCAGCACGATGTTGCCCTCACTGCGGACGGACTGTCCTGCAATGTCTGTTGTGCGTATGGGCACTAACCCTTCAGCGAGTATCTTAACAGCAAAGGTTAATCCGACAGTCACTGGAGCGTCGCCTACAGGTGACGCCGTCTACACGTCAACCTCTTCGGCCGACATGACCTTGTTTCAAATCACCGCGTCGCGTCGCAAAGCTAACTGCGGCCGGTCTGTCCATAGACTCATGACCATGCTTCTGGGACCCGAGCAATACCTCATAGCAATGCCAAAAACTGCGACTTTGCACTCGATAGCGCTGGTATGAATCTATTTGCTGCCAGTACAATACATCCGTCAGATTTTGGTTTCGGTTTTCTTCGGTTGACCTCCCCCAGCAGCGTATCAAAATCCCAAACAATCGAAATACTTCAACCCTGACGGTTAATGGGTGGCGTACTTTACTGCATTGCACGAACGCAATGCGATTGTTTTCTTTTTCCCCCGAAGATGCTCCGTTTCACGTCGCCACGATGCATGCCGGCGTCTAGCTTTGGACATATTGAGTTTTTATGCAGCTTGAAGATATTGAGCTTTCGACATGAAGTCTTTGCCAAGATATAGTTGTACTGTTACGAGTTGGAAAAAATGTCTCCATGTAAAATAACCCTCTTGGAATGTTTGGGAAGAGTAACAGTTTCGAAAACGATTGTGCGGCTTGATGCTGAAACCTGAGTTAAATTGTTGAAAACTCTCAACACGTCCAGTATCACCGCACACCCAAAGGGCAACAAGCTGACCCGAGCCGAACTGCCAAAGCTTTACAATTTTCGGTCGGATCTGTGCCTTTGGCCGGATCGGTGATGCGGATCTGTGCGTCCCCAGCGTTTCAACCCTCAGAAAACAGCGGGCCTTCAGAGTATCGGAATCTTCTGCCACCTTGACCCAGGAACTTTTGTACACATTGCAAGGTTTATGCATTGTATATTATTATTGTACATGTTGATACATTTTGTTCACAGACACTGAAGGGATCGTTATATCTAACCTAAAAAACCTGCAGCAGTTCCTTTGTAAAACGTTGCTACACCTGGTATCTGCCACCAACAAACGCAGATACACAGGGCAATAATCATGCGGTCGCATGTTGGCACATAGATTGACAAGATGTATCACAGAAATATACGCAATGCTCGATTATACCATACTTTGTGGCACAGTGATACGGTTGGGCACATCAAATGCATGACAAAAGGAACTGTACAATACTGCTCGGATTTGCAGAGATAATTGGCTGAGAAGAACGCTATCAATCGTTGGATATCACGCATATAATACAGGTGGATGTGCAGATAAAATGTAAAAAAAACATTTCTAAAGCTGGGATCACATGCACAGCCGGTACAGCACCTGACGACAACACCAAGGCCGTATGTATAAAGCACTGGGTGCCTGAGTAGGTCGGCTTCATACAGTGCACGGCGCGACCATCACAGAGAATGGCACATGGCTCCGATCAATCGCTATCGATCGTCGCATATCACACATATCTTGCATATACATACATATATATATATATATATATATATATATATATATATATATATATATATACATATACCATACATACATATATCATACATCATACATACATACGTACATATATCATATCATACATGAATGTACATACAACATGTTAAAAACACTTCTAAAGCTGGGATCACATGCACAGCCAGTGACACAGAATGTCACCACATAGCAAGACAGCACCTGAGAGCAACACCAAAGCCGTATGTATGAAGTACTGAGTACCTGAGTAGGTCGGCGTAATACAGTGCACGGCGCGAACAATCACAGAGAACGTCAAATGGCTGGGCACATACAAAACAGCCACACCGGTACATAAGCAAATGTACAGCCACCCACATATATACAGGCAGATGAGGTATTCAGTAACACCCGTGTGCTATGTTCACAGCTCCAACACAGCCATCAGTGATCCATCTGACCACCGTCAGCGGTCACGGCTCCACCATTAGTGTCCTCATCATCTGAGTCCTCAGGGAGGATCTCTGGCCAAACACCCATCCAGACGGCGGGAGGCGCCGGTCTCAATGCCTTCTCCCTCTCTTGATCCTCGACGTCCTCCCAGTCGCTATCACCGTCATCTGTTGGCGACTCGACGAAGCTCATTTTCGTCTCATCCCCGTGCTGCGGCTCCGGGAAGCGAATAGCCAGAGGAGCGATCGGCACGTACCGCTCCCCGTCGAACCGGGCGAAGAAGCGACCCACCTCCACGTGATCGATGGGCTGTGGATCCGCGGCCAGATGAAGCTCCTCTGCAATGATCAGCACACCTCTGTTAGTGCCAGACACACGCGTGACGCTCCACGCCAAGGGCACAACGCATCAAGGAGCTAGCAAAAATTTGTAGACAGCTCAGTAATATTTCCATGGGGAGGTTAGTCTCTTATGAATTATAGGAATGATACAATGTCCACAAGGTTTCTGGAAATAACAACTGAGTGTTTAGATGTATGGATGCTTGCCATCAGGACACACAAATGTCAAACAAACAGAATTGATGAAAATACAATGCACGTTGAAAGCTTATAGACAGAAAAATTGATGCAGCACACTTTCTATTAACATATATATTATTCCCCATGCTAACCACAAATGCAGGTGAAAACAGACGAACTGAATAGAGCGAAACTGTGCTGGGTGTTGAAACACTGAGTGGATGTACATGGTAAGATCTAGGTAAGAGCGCACACCACTTGGTGGACACGCCCACTTACCCTCGGCCATGTATCCAAACTGGTCCACCTCCAGTAGTAGCTTGTAGAAGGGCTGGTTGACTCCCAGCTGCAGCCTGGAATTCATGCCACGCTCCTCCACCCAGTCCTGCAGAGGGCACCAGACAAAATCAATACAATTTACACTGCACAGACGTCGTTGGACGTGTAAGGTAGAAGATTGCTGAGATAAAAAATCACCAGTTTTACCACCAAAAACCACCAGTTCACCAGTTTTATATTTACTTTTAATATATTATCAAATCCACAGCACAATCAGAAAAAAACGCACACGGGAGTACTGCACAAAACAATCTCAGAGCAAAGGTGTATAACATCCACATGTGCAGCTCAATCCGTCCGGGTGCTCATCTCCCAACCTACCCGTGGTGGAATGAAAGTTTAAGTAAATGTATGCGCTCGCTATGTGCTCCCAACTGAGATGGTCTGAGGCCAGTCGCAGCAGACGATGAAGGTCACATGAGGTCAGGTAGCGTTGAAGACGACGAAAAGAACTGCGACGCGTTTAATTTTCGCCACGAAATTCTGCGGTTGAACCACAGTGCAACGATGAGATGGTGGGGACACGGCTCACATAAGGACTGCTTGCATGTGCACTGATCCAAGAAAAACATGCAATAAAAAATATTCAGACTAGGTGGTTTTAAAAGAAACAGCCATGAACAGCGTGCGCACACAACTATCTATACCAGCGTCTGAGGCCGAACATGGCTGAATTCTAATCCATTATTTAATCATTTACTTCGTCATTCAATACATTAATTAATACTCAAGCAATGACATTTTGTGACAAAATGATGCAAAAATCAATAAAAACTGAAGTGAAATTCGCTTATTTCTAATCGATGACTGAAAAGTTAACGCCAATTCTGACCCACAAATACCAACATACACCAATAATCGCCCTGATTCTTAAGTCTCAAGAAGAGGACGATTGTGAACCGCATCCAAAGGTCTGCAAGATGGCTTTTTCGGTCCCAAGCCCCATGTAAATGTAGAACACTCCCTTTAACTACATCAACCAAGTGAAAGGATTGTGGAGAGCGCTAAGTAATGACGAGCTGAGCGAGTGCATACTGAAAGCCCCACAGGACAAAACGCCACGTGTGTTTTAGGTTATAAGTTATGCCACTGGCGAGGCCGCCGGACGTTATGACGAAACAGGTCGCGAGGCGACACAACAGCCTGGGTCTGCGTTAATTTGACTATTTCATCAGCACCATTCGTACCTCTGGCGCCTCGCAGCACGGTGAGCAGCTGTACACCACGGCCAGGTGCCCGCCGCCGTACGTGACAACGTCACCGACGCCGAACCGCCTCCGGTAGTTGCCCACTGCTCGGCCTGCTGCGCGGAGGTCCGCCTGAAACACGGATAACAAGAATGAGGATAATGCTCACAACATCAGGTAGGGATCGTGCGAGAGTGAGGTCTTGACGACATGGACAAGATGGGGGTCCAGCGAACCTGGAAAATAACTGAGGGGCAATGAAGTGGATGTCATACAATTTAGATTGGAATTCTTAAAATGGCCCCTGAGCCCAACCTAAGCAATAACATGTCATTATAAACACAGATACCACTGCTACTACACAAACTAAAGCAAAGGTAGACATAAATGCATGCCAGAAGGTAATTCTTTGTGTGCTAACCTGCACCACCACTAGGCTCCAGTGAAATAAATATCCGCATTTAGGTCCATAGGAAAAGGTTTAAGGAAATGTTCCACATTAAAACATTGAAGCAAAAACATCATATATGATGAGAAAAGCCAACTTTGACTGCTGACATACTTCTCTCCATTTAGTAAATATTCTGCTCAATACGTCATCGTATGATTCTGTCACTGTGCCCCGCACAATGTTGATTGGAAGCCGGTTGACGACCGCTGACGTCTGGAAATCATGGCCACGAGCGCCAGGTACGAACGACTCGACAATCACATTTTTTTGGCCTTGATCGCCGCATGGCCAATAGAGTAGCAAGATTTGAATGACTTTATTGTGGCATTGTGGATGCGTGATGTTGAAATAGTGTCCCGGAAACATTCTGCACACATTCGCGGGCGTGTCGCTCAGAAACTAAAAGGGTTTTGATCTAAAGAGGGGCAGGGCTGTGAACTGCACCAAATGACCTTCAAGATGGCCATTTCAGTTGAAAACCCCAAACAAATATAGAACACCACTTTTAAGAAAATCATGCAATCTGATGTAAATCTGAAAAATTCCGCTGATTCTTACCATTTTCCGGACCTTGGCCTCCTGTTTATCCAGGGAGCGCAGCAATTGCTTGTACCTCGTCTTCAGGTCCGTCGCAAGTGCTTCCAAGCTACGTCTGTCGTTCTCCACCAGGTGCGGCCCGTTAGCCTGGATGAATTGCTGCAGGCAAAAACAAAACAAAAATATGCTTCAAATATAGGCTTCTTATTTCACTCAACATCCTGCTGACATTTTAAAGGCAACATAGAACACCTGATAGCGTGTGCGTGACAAGCTCGGTGCATAAGGCAATCGAGCATGCAATTGCAGGTTTCCTGTCCCTACTGGGAGCCATATTACACTTTTAAGCATAACTGGTACCACTCACAGTAACGTTGAGAAATGAAGATCCACATTTTCTACCCACAGCTACATAGATCATGGTGTTGGCTGTCAACACATTAACGTAGCCCACATCTCCTACGACAGCAGCATCAGCAAACCAACACCAGGTACCGTTGCGGCGTATTAGTAAAGCCTATGGTGCTCACATGCTGTACATCTAACGCGGATGTTCGTAATATGGATTTTTAAAATGTGATTCAGTGTGCAAATGCATGCACAATGCACACAAATGTCATAAACACAAACACCGCGAGAGAACGATGCGTGGCCCGGATGGGCCTTCGCTGCCCACCTGCATCAGATCGGAAGGGGTGAACGGCGGAGGCCGAAGGTTTCTGATACATTAGAGCGGAGGTGGCAGGCCTGCTGGTGCAAGCGCCTCACCGTGTTTAATTGACCGCATGGGCCGACCGCTCCGCTGGGGCATCACCAGAGACCACTCACCTGCAGCAGACGGTGTGTGTACATGGGTCGCATCCTAGCCAGGGTGGACATCAGGTCGGTGAACGCAGCCGTGTCCAGGCGGCAGCCACTGCGGGCCCAGGTGGCCAGTGTCTTGAACGAGGCCAAGTCGAAGTCGGAACCTGGCCGGCGGGGATCCGGCTGGGTGGAACACTGGATCACGTAATCCAGTACCTGCCAGAACACGGCATACATGATAAGATGGACAGACAATTATAGTAACACAAAACACAACAAGAATGAGCACATAGCAGGGCTAGACACAAGTCAGAGCCTATTGTGCACTGCCTCAGGGAGGATGTGAAGCCAGCAATCACAACACAATTTGGCAATGTCTTCCTGTCCAGCTCCAACCAGTTATATGTGCAAAGTTTATGGCAAATGGAAAATGATCAATTTGGCACATTCTGAGTAAAAAGCTGTTCATGTGGCTTAGGTCACTAACTTGATAAACAATGGCTTGCAAGGCGAATTTCGCCTACCAGGATTGGTTTGACGAAACTCCAGCTCACTGAACTGCTGCCAATTTAGCTAAGTAATACTGTATTAGGTGATACAAGACGCGACAGAAGTGGTATACAAGGGTGCTGTGAGGGCAATTTATAAGTGTGTGTGTGGCATATAAGACATATAAGACCACTTGTAGGTCTGTGGCACCTAACCATGGACAACACGTCGGCTTAAATAGCACATTTCCGCACCAATCGCTTTTGCATTTGCATTTGGCACGATTCCAGATACCCAAAAAATCACATCTGATGAAACAGTAAGACCCAAACAAAACATCAGCATGAGATGACATGACCTTGACGGAACCTAGAGCTCTGCAACAGCGTCACATATATATGGATTTCAAGTGCACGCTATTCGTTGTTTGCTCGCAATCCGTTTCCACCATCTATCAAACAATGCAACCACCATTTTAAGTGCCACAGGCATTGCATTAAAAAAGTGAATGCAGCACCTACAGGGAGGATTCAAAAAGGCAATCAATTATCCTTTGGACATTTCCCATCAATGGTTATATCTTAATATATCAAGGTGGGCTTACTTTTAACCCTCTTGGCGACTGGGTGGCTCGATACACTAAGCGGTATATTAAGCTAAGCTAGGCCTATGCTGAATGAGTTAAGCCACCACAGGCATCAGCATGCGCCAAACTCGAGGTTAGGAACGTGGAAGCATCACATGGAAAACAAAATATACATCTAAGCATACCAAAGTGGTGCAAACACTCAAAGAATCTCCATTACAACAGGGGCAAATCACACATATAATACCGACGATGTTATCCCAAGGATTTGCAACATGACTCATGCCATACCCTCTCTCTGGGGACAGGTTCCAGCATCTGGAGGTCAATGCCCGGGTGGACGGCTTTCAGCTCCTCCAATGCCTGCTCCCTGGACAGCCGCAGGCCGCGGCGCAGAACGTCGATGAACATGTACTGTTCACCGACCCTGCCCGCGGAACAGAACGTTAGGTTATCAGGCACGGTACACATGTCCCCGTACATATGCACACACATGGTGTGTAGGAACACGTTGGACACCGCGGACAAACGGAAACAGAGAGCGCGTGATTTCGTTCCGCATCGCCAAACATGGGTACAACGAGCTCAGTGACGCCCTCAATTGTAAACTTATGAACACTTCAGTGCCAGTATCCAAAACATCCATGGGCAAGATACCCTTGCAAGTCCATATGATGTATTAGCATTCGCCCAATGCATGGGTGTTTCCCTTTGGAAACAGATCAATAAATTACTTAATTGATGCAAGCCTTGTAGTAATAATGACTGTCAGGGAGAAAATATATGAACAAAAAATAAACTGTTGGATGACTATGGGGATGATGTGGCTTTACAACATTCATCTCAACTCCTTTGAACTCCCTTTGCTTTTAAATATATGATGTAATTTTTGAATCCCACAAGAAAGACATCGCTGCAATGCTTTCCACAATGCAAAATATAACACAGTGGGAAAAGTAAACTTACTGAAGAGCATAAACCCTGTCACCCACCTATAATCATAGCTAGATCTGAAATTTTTGAAGGCGCTAATCAAATGAAACATTTCAGAAGCTCTTCAAAAACACAAAACAGCACTTCTCCAATCGACCTGACCACAATCATCAGTATCCTTTTCCAATTAAGTGACCAGTGTCGGGCAACAGATCCGATATCAAGGCTCAGGTGAAGGTACTCACATCCTGTGCCAGCAGATCATCCAGCTGTGCGGGAGCTGCATGTTGTGGAGGTTGACGCCCAACATGCCAGCCACAGAACAGTAAACTGAAGCCATCACAGTCTGCACCTTGGAGCCGACACGGTGAAAGTGGCGATGGTGGAGGAAGAGCTGTGGACAAAATGGAAGGTCATTTAGACAAATGTGTTAGAAAACATAGCAACAGCTTGCATACACTCACAGCTGCAAAATAAATGGTCAACAATTTAGTCCACTGCATACTGAAGAACTGACCTCCATGCACTTAGCAGATGTAAAAGAAACAGTAAAGGGTTTGAACTTTTGCCATCCAGCAACTCCAATACCATTCATACACTGATAAGGGGCTAATTCATTCATCCATAGTTCTCAGAGTGGGTTCCAGGAATAGGTTCCAGGGCTATTGATCACTGTCCAAAAGGTTGGGCTAGTGTCTTGTCACAAAAACGAACAATCACATGATGTCAGGTTTACAAAAAGAGTCTGACAAAAAGATACAACTAACCACAAAGATAGCTAATTTTAAAGAAGACAATGAAACAAACCAGTTAGGTACTGGGATGCACACAAACAAAGACCAACATTGTGTCACACTTGCCATCAACAAACATCACTCAGCATTACACACAAATCACAAAACAGTGTGTACGACGTATTTAGCCATCCAGCAGAGACATGGTATTGAGCCTCATGATGAATGGGTGGGGGGTATCAGACTAGCATTACTTTTTGTGTTTCGCAGCACATCAACCAACGGATTAGCTTAGGAAATTTTATATCATGGATTAGCGTGCACATGGCCTTTATGGAACGGCACACATTTCAATGTGCAAGACCCGATAACAACGTTTGAGTTTACGTAACACCTACCAACATGCTCAGCTCGGCAGCTGGTCCGTCCTCTGGCCCGTCGTCCTCCATCAGGGCCAGCTGGTCATACAGCACGACGTTCAGCACGTCCAGCAGCTGCAGCGCCTCGTCGTCCGTCCACAGCGTGGGTCCGAACGGGTTCTGCTTGCACGCGGCCCAGTCAGCGGCTGGGTGCTCCGGCAGCCGCCGGCGCAGCTCATCCAAAACCAGCCCGGCGGTCTTGATGTAGTAGCTGCGGCAAGGGATCTGTGTTATAATTCACGTGTGCATATCAAGGGTTGTGATATTCGTTCACTGGCAGGGGAACAAGAAACGTGCGTACACTTACTATTACAAAGAAACGTGGGAAATGGGCAAGGCGAGAAGGGTGGGAATGGGGAGGGTGATTTCCACGGTATTGCACGCCCGCCTTCCGCATTTTACTCCGCGGGCACCCATTACTCGACTGTCACTCGTAAACTAAGTCATCAATGCAGAAGATGCTCCTAAAGCGAAACATAAAACCCTACTTTTTGTTTTAGGGACAGTGGCAGAACACGTTCTCAGCGTGACAATCGTGGTGATGGATCGTGGCGCCAACGAGAGTGAACGAAAAAAAACAACAAATGTGACACATGACTGATGATGATCAGAATCAGACCATTCCTACTAGCCAGGACAAAGAACAAAAGCCGAAGTGATTTTACGAACATCTCACTTACAGAATTGAGCCTCTACCTGACATTCGGATTGCTTGTTGCGCGCGCCCACAGTACGGTGGTTAACGCGCCTATGTTTACTACCGCGCGTCTGGAAAAAAAAACTAGAGGTGCAGGGTTCGATTCCCCGCCTTTCCTGCCATGGTAAGTGGCAGGCGATGCCACGGCCTCACCACCTGCGCACGTCGCAAAGGTCCCAATGACAACAACAAATTGCTTGTTAGAGACGAGAGACTCACGACTGGAGATCGGACTGTCGGTTGACTTGCTCCGGAATCATCCAGAGGCTCATCAGATAGAAGGCTTCAGGTACGTTCAGATGTTGCACTGGCCGCTGCACGTACTCGCGTATTATGGGCAGCAGCACGGAGTCCCGCTGAATCTCTCGGAACAGCATCCGCGCATAGTAGCGCAACGACAGGTCATCATCCCTGCCGAAAGGCGGTTACAGAGTTACGCCCATGCCTTAGGCAGCATCTGTTTCCTCTCAGAACCAGGAGTGAGAAGGAAGGATTGCTTGTCAGCGATGGGTTTAAGTACCAGTACCAACAACGCAGAAACATTCTCCTACAGAGTAGAGCCGAAGCCCTGGTGCACACCACTGCACCGCCTTTCCATGGAGCATAAGTACCCAAACGTGCGAAAAAGCGTTAAAATTTGGATTCAATTCCTGAGACAAGTAAAGCGGTAGGTGTCATGGGAAGATACTGCTCCTGGCACAATATCATACGTATGAAGTTAAGACAGACACTCATCCAATTTCGTGTTTGGCCTATTAAATCTATATGAGCAGAATGAACGGTCGAAGCACGCCGACAGGCTGAGGAGCCATTGATCCGACTCACGGACAGTGTTGGCGCGGGTAGATGACCTCCAGAAGGGCATCCCGGTTGAACAGGGTACCATGGGCGGGCACCAGACTGCGGAATTCCTCCATGGCGGGGTCCGGCAGGCAGCCGACCGAGTAGCATCTGTCGGCCATCTTGGCTAAGGCTGTGCGTAGGTGGCGGCCAGCCGAGGCGCGGAACCACGCAGTGCGGCGCCAGCTGCGGCCACACCACTCGAACGCACTCAGCAGGGCAGGATGGCATGAGGTCTGCATAAGGCGTGGGTACCTGCGAAACAATACAACAGGGCCGTCAGTGAGTCCAACACACAATGAGGTCGGCATCTGCGAGGGACCAACAAAGGCAACGGGACACCAGGAGGGGAAAATACTCTACAAATGGGGAGTGCTCACGAAATTGGAGCATGCTGTACAGGGAAAAACAAAGACACTGACGTGTAACACAGGCAGTTATTTAGAGTTGGTAGCTGATGAGAAGCTATAAAACGCAAGCGCTTATCCAGGGAGCTGCAATTACCAGCACCCTGCACTACGTTCATCTCCCCTGCGTGGAATTGAAGGATATGGTCATTCTATTTCAACATCCATAAGTGTGATGCATGTGAATAATCATCGCGACTAGGGCGCCCCTAACGCGAAATAACTAGCTGGATTACACTAGTACCTTTGAAATCAACAGCACCAGTTGCATCACTATATTTAATGTTGAGCGCTTCTCGTTTTTACCGAGCATGATCCTTTCGCAACCATAATTCACCACAACCCACATACATACCATGGTCAAGTTTATCATGTCATGCATAACTTTAGAGGGACTGCAGGGGCATCACCAGGGAGAAGGCAGGGTCGCCCACCTAATTTATGTCAATAGCTCCACGGACAGGAGACAAAGCCGTACACGCCACTCATTTACCTCGTGTTGTGCTAATCATACCTTGCTTTTTAAGCCGTTAGATGGTGTTACGGGCACGCAGGAACATGGCACACAATCTGATAAGCCCTGACCTTTGAACTTCTGGTAGCTGAAGTAAACTACACAACAAAAAGTCAATTGAATGATGCAGGACCTTTGTAGCCATTTGGCAATTGGCTGAGATCAACAATATGGTGTGTAATGATAACTGCCAACTAAAGAACATTGATACCCAGTATGCAGAAAAATTGATAGGCTAATTGTAACTCGCACCTGTATTCAGGGGCACAGGTTTGCCTTATTAGTGGGGGAGGGAGCCTGGCTGATGAAAAATAGTACAGCATGTCCCCCAATTATTGGTCAATCAATCAGCTTTTCCATGGTTTTGACAAAATTCCTGTTTAGTTTTGGGGGGAGGGCTGGAGCCCCCAATCAAATACAACACAAGGTCCTGTAATACTGATAGTTCCAATAGACAAAGTGTGCAGAATTCCTCCAATGTGAATGGTTTGTAGTGCCGGCTGTCAATGCCATTTGAAAGTCTACCCTCTGGATCAAGTTTGGACCAAGTTCCTCTGACTGCCCAATATATTGTAAACCTCTTAGCTCAAGATGCCATGAACTTCCTGTGCCCCCTACCCTTGACATGTGCCTGGCTCAAGAACCATATCTGTTACACAGGGCAGAAATAGTGTCACTTAGTGATCACTGTTCCCCATTGCTCCACCCTTCCCACAACTCCCGGCACTTACCTTAACACACACTGCTTAACAGGCAAGCATGACATTATCAACACAAACTTCATGGACTAGCTTATTTAACATTTGGAGAAAACAAAACTTTTTTTGCTACTGGTAACACTGCCATGGAAAAATATCAACATGGACCAACAAAGGTTGGCATGCCTTGAGAGGAATGCTAGTATCATATGGATGCAACTTAACACCACTTGAAATAGTGCCTGGCCTTGCCTTCAATGTTTATTTGATATCACCACAAACATGCTCCACAAAAATACAGACAAATTTTTGTGCAGCACAAGTAAAAAATCAGTGGGACGATGTGCATACCATAGGTTTGCAATGTCGTGCTGCACTCTACACGTCTTCAGGTGCAAAGAATCTAGCTGACACAGCCTGACACTAAAAATATGTATGTGTGCATATGTATCCATGTTATGAAAACTTTAACTGCACACCCTCATTACCTCCGAGATGCCAGCTGTAGCAGTGGACCACATGTTAACATGGTTGGTGGCAAAGCGGGCTTTACTGATGAACCTGTGCATAACTTATACAAGGCAACTCACCTCGACTTGAATCCAAACCTCCATACTTTCTCTGAAGTATGGACATCATGAAGCCTTCTGCATACTTGTGACACAGAAACAATATCTTCTATACTAAGGAAACACAAGATGTGTTCCAAAATTTCCGTTGGCAGAGAAAGCAGTGATGTCTCAGCATCATGCTCTCTAATGTCCATATGCATCACTCCCTCATCATCCAAAAACTTCACAGGATCCATCGGCAACTTTCAACACACAAGTGCAATGTTCCAAATATAAAAAGGCACCAAATTCAGCAGATCCGGATTGCACGGATGAAATCACCAACACCCCGCAGCGCCAGAATGGAAACGGAAGTCAAATGCGGCGGTCGGCAGTGGGAGAGGATCGGTAGGTAGGGCTATTCAAATCCACCAATGAGAAGCGGGCAGTTAACACGCGCTCGGGTAAGGGGGGGCGGGTAATTGGCCCCCCTCCCCCGAGGGTTTTTCCAGAATGGCTTCCGAGCGGCGCGGCGTAGTCGTGCCAAATTTTGCATAGCTGGAGACAATTGAATAGCGGATCGTTTGACATCAAGATTTATGTATGCCTTGTAAGGTCGCTGCCCTATAGCACGTCAAACTCGGGCCATGGCTTAAGCGAAGACAATTTCTAGAACTCGTCCAATCTGATACAATAACGGAGTGTTTGACGAAGCCATACATCTCTGAGATGCTTTCTTAGGCACCACGAATATTAAATGAGCAAATTATGTTGACCTAAGGTCAGGTGTGAAGGTCAGACCAAGGTCAAAAACCAAACTGATTTATTGGTCTTGGGCTTGCTGTATGGGATAGTTTGTGGTGCTCATTTCGAATTTATTGACAGCAGGAACCGCATTTTACATCTTCTATTTATTTCTTAGAGGTCAGAACAGGTCATTGACCTATGATGAACCGGGTCGACCTTTAGTTTTAAGAACATACTGCCTAGCGCAATCTTTGTCGCTTATTCAAACGCAAAACTCAGCGGTCTTGTATGATCTTGGCCACCATGACCTTCAAAAGGTCATACAAGGTCAGTGACCTCAAATGAACTCGTGACCTTTTGCTTACAAACAGTTGCCTAGTTTCTGGGGGCACTTTAGAGACCAATCCGAAATTTTGCCTTGTTTGACCTTATTTGACCTGAAGGTCATGATCTAGGAAGCTCAAACTTTGACTTAAGTGATTTCACGTACAGGTCAATATGTCCTGTAAATTTGGTGTCTCTAGCTTTCTTAGTTCCCGAGATCTCAGATGAGGGTGTCAAATTGACCCCCCCCCCCCACCCCCCACCCCCACACACACGAGCGAAGGGTATCTAGCCGGCCACCCCGGCACGTTTAAAAGAAAGTGCAGCGTGGCTAGACCGGATGGAAATGCTCATAAGCGACTGAGCAGTAGTTGCGAGTTATTTCGTTTTCAGTCGGATGTTTGAGGGGGACTTCAATTCAACTTCAAGAAGAAACTGGGCTAAACTTGGTAAGAAACCCATGTCGAATATAGGTTCTGGATAGACATGGTTATACTTTCCAGCTCAGTCCCATTTAACTTGAGAAAGCCCCACCTTTCGTGCATATAAGAAAGCCTAGTGTAACCTAAGGACCAGTTACGTCCATCAATAGCACTGGGTGCATTGTATTATCACTATCAAGACGCGCTGAGCTGATAAGACAGTTGAAATAGCGTGATTCCTCAGAGAAAAACCGGGAGAACGGAGGCATGATATTTCGGCATCATGCCTCACAAGCAGCAGAAGCCTTATCGATATGCATAGTGTTCTTCGGAAATGCACTTGCCAACTTACCAAATACACTGAGCAGATCTAGATTTCAATCACTTTCGAGTCCAAATCACGTTGTCAACCCTCAAAGTGCTACAGCAAGGACTCCTGCTGCCAGGGGTGCTACAATGCTTCTACTGCCAATATTTGATGCAGCATTTGTGCTGTGCCACAAAACTCGAATTGCAAAGGCTTTTACACATCATTACTTTTACCGTAAGCTCTTGAAGTCGTCACTTGTTTGCGACATTACTTCTAGGGTAAGAACTTATATGGAACGCTAGTGCTACACGACAAAACTCATACTTTGGGTTTTGCAGTGCAAGTTATGCCTTGCGAATAAGTAATGGGCGTGTACGTTTTTGCAGTAAACGTAATGCCGTGCATAGGTTTTAAGCATTAATTTGGTGGTGTAACACGCATGCCTTGCACAATTCCTTGCAGTAGAAGTGATATCGTGCTACAAGTTCAGTCCGTAAGGGAAAACGGGGCAAAATGAGGCACCCTGGTAAACCGAGCACCCCGCGATTTCGGCTGTTAGAGGTGGCGCCATCGGAAATCGATGGTTTGAACTAAAGCTTTTCTGACAGGGGATGGAAATGACGTGCACTGGGTCTTTCTGTCGGCGGCCGTCGTTGGAGGGAAGTGTGTTTTCGCTTTCCATGTTTTGTTATTATTTTTATGGTGATTTGAACATTGTTTATTCTACGAGTATAGTTAATCGTGAATTCAAAGTTGCTGCGTTTTGATGGTGTATGCCTGCAGGTACCTAGAGCGCAATTGTGAATTTTTCGGGATAGTTTTCGTTGCGTGTCGAATCCTGTTGTGTTGTTGGCGTCCATGGGGCAGAATGGCTGGGGCAAAGTGGACACTTGGGGGAAAACAGGACACAAAAGGTCCCGTTTTGCCCCACCTGAAATATGACTATCGCAAGGAAAGTTTGGCTTAAATAAGCCATGAACACAATGTTCCAATGGTAGTAACAGGCACATGAGTAGAGCCTGAAACAAATGAATCGATCCTGCTCCAGTTCTATGATTAAATAGTGGTCGAACTACTGCGTCAAACTGGGAATGTGCGGCCTTGCGATTTGTCGTTTATAATTGATTAAGGGTGCGCATGTGATACCTATATACTTATCGTTCTTTTTAGGCCTAATTTATTGTAATTATGTTATTTAACAAATCTTATTTGTGAACATAAGAATTGTAAGTACCTACCTGTGATGACTTGATTCAGTATCACGCATGTGCCCATCTCTTTGATAGCCTCTATAACTCACTTGTCAGTCAGCAAACAAGCAACGACTTCCGACCGACCAGTTATGAAAAATATCTTAAAAAGTAACTTAGGCTATACAAAGGTGAAAAGTTAATACATTTTTGGTCTTTATCGCACAAAACTCACAGTCCATTTCGCACTTTTCCGTACCTTTTAAGGGTGTATTTCTCTGCATGCTCAGGCACTGGCGTAAGTACTAACGCATAGGTATTCTGTCTGACAGAGCTGGCGTAAAAAAATAACTTCAAGTTTTGTTTTCTCTGCTTATGGGCAAGACCCGGCAAATTGTAGTAAGTTTTAATGCTTATTTATCATGTTGTGCCAGAAACGCTGCTAACTCCAATTAAGTGGGAAAAAACCTTACATTCCCTTTAAACATATACGATTCAATGTTTTGTTCTTGAATTATTGGATAGCTCCGCGTTTTCTTGTTCCTTAAGCATTAGGACTGACTTATTGTATAGTATAACATAGAAGGTGTTTTATCATATCGCCCTTAACATTAAACGTGACTAATTTAACACAAGAAGTGAAATGTCCAATGACCAACTAGTTATAGGCATGCAGTTAGGTATTTCGCTTTGATAATTGTACTTAATTTTTCATAGCAGGTTAGCGTTTTTCTAGTTAATAAAAAGGAATATAGGTACACGGGCGGGTCCAGGGAGGGGTGGGAAGGGGGGCTTAAGGGGCAAATGATCCTCCCAAATCCGGTCAACATTTACGCTGAGGTTCTTTTTTACAGAGGAACTACTTCGCCAGACGGAAAATGAATCGATATTACAAGAGAAAAAATGATCGGCAATCCTGGAAGCAGGATGCGACGGCAAAGGCCATCGAAGCAGTCAAGGTGGGAAAAATGTCCACCAAAGAAGCGGAACGCCGCTTTCTGGTCCCGAACTCGACTCTCGACGGACGGCTGAAGAAGGCACGGGCAATGTTAATAACAGAGGCCACAGAGAAGGTCCTGGGTCGACACAAACCTGTTTTCACGGAAGCTCAGGAGCGAGATTTGGTATAGCACATAATGGAGCTCCAAAACCGGATGCTCGGAATAACGCTGACTGACCTCAAGAAGTTGGCATATGAATTCGCAGACAGAAACAAAACCACTCACCTATTTAACACGGTGACGAAGATGGCAGGGGAAGCGTGGATACGGTGCTTCCACAAGAGGAACCCCACGGTCTCACTAAGGGCACCAGAGGCCACAAGCGTTGCTCGCGCCGCGGGGTTCAACTCAGTCGTTGTCAACGCGTTCTTCGACAACCTTGAGTCACAGATGGATTCTGCCCAGTTCGGTCCCACGCGCATCTACAACGTGGATGAAACGGGATTTAACACGGTCGCAACAAAACAAGAGAAGGTGCTGGCGAGGAAAGGGCGCAAGCAGGTCGCCCAACTGACATCTGCGGAACGAGGCACGCTGGTTGCCGGGGTGATGTGTATCAACGCTGCGGGGAGCTACACACCTCCAGGTGTGATATTTCCAAGAAAGAGGGCCAACCGGCAGTTGGAGAAGGGTCTTCCCCCAGGTAGCCTGGTGCTGTACCATAAGTCTGGTTGGATGCAGAGGGAGCTGTTCGTGAAATGGCTTAACCATTTCATACAGCACGCGAAGCCCTCAAAACAGGATCCAGTCCTCATACTGGATGGACATGCCAGCCACACCAAGAGCCTCGCAATCATCCTGCTGTGCAGGGAAGCAGGTGTGGTGATGCTCACCATTCCTCCGCACACCTCACACCGCCTTCAACCACTGGACCGGACGTTCATGCTTCCTGTCAGCACCTTCTTCTTCCAAGGTCAGAGAACGTGGCTCCGAAGCAACCCTGGCAAAGGCATCACATTGCATGAGATGGGGGAGCTGATCGGGTCGGCCTACGTGCAGGCGGCAGCAGTGAAGACGGCGTTGAAGGGCTTCGAAGTCACGGGGATCTTTCCCACAAACCGCCATGTGTTTGGTGAAGAAGACTTCGCAGCAACAGAAACAACGGACATCCCGCCGACCGGCACCACAGACGCACCAGTGGGTCTCAACTCAGCAGCATCTCCTCTGCGCATGCCTGGGCCCTCTGACGTTGATGTCTCGGTGAGCACGAACGTTCGGGAGTCATCGAAAACTGTCGCCGGAGACGCAGCGCAGGCTGGGATATCGGGACTGGGAAGCTCGACTTATTCCGAAACTCCGGCAAAGTTGCCCACCGCTTGGGCTCTGCCAGATGATTTCTCAAGCTC